ACGGTCAATTCCCATTATTCGTTGGTAAAAGAGAAGCTCAAGAGCTAGCGGTGGATGGTGATGACTAGCTGCCTTCCCTCTAGGTGCTAGGTGCTTACAGTGCTAAATTAGGGACTGCTAGCGCAGATAGCCCTCGCGTAGCTTTGTGCGAAATTCAAAACAAACTTAACGTAGAAATATATAAAAGTGAAGGCTGCTTGAATCGACGAGTGTATAAATGTATATTTACTGGATACTAAAAGAATTAGTAATTCTTACAAAAACAAACTTGCTCAATTCCCTTCATCTGTGAATTTTACATAATTCACAGAACATTTTAAGCCTTGTAGAATAAATCTATTACATTCAAGAAATACGCTTATATCAAACGTTATATATTGTATCATATGTACTAATCTGTTAATTTTTGTGAGCTTTTAATTCAAAGTTTTGGAAATGTTTAAGTCTGAAGTTTTTAATTTTTACTCAGATTTATCATCATTATTATAATCTAGCAATAGAGGGTAATACTTAAATATAATAATCTCATATTGTTAAAATTTCCAGTTTCTGTAACGACCCAGAAAGCCAGAATGATAATCATATTTGAAGCACTTAAAATATTTTTCATTGCAGCACAGACTGCATGTGTTAAAGTATTGTAATGTGTATTGACAAGCTGTTACAACTGCATTTTGTTTTTTATCAAAATCAACAAGTTTGAATAGAAAACATCTTAGAAAAAAAACCGACTTGATGACGAATATTTTATGAAGTTATGTTCGTACTCTTTTTTACATTCTCTAACACAGACCGAAGACATGTATAAATTGTCTTTTATAACTTTGCAAATCCAAGTTTAACTTTTAGAAAATGTCAGTATAAAAGGGGTGGTCAGTGTTGCATAGATAACATGGTAGTGGGTTATGGTGGTGTACATGTATCATAAACAATAAAATCAATACTATCACTAACCAAAACGCTAGAACACAATGAACTGTTGAGTTATGCATTATGTATTAGTATTTTGTCTTTATGTAACGTCACTGTCACCGACTCACTTATCACCTTTTATATTAAGGTTCTCAAAAATATGCCCATGATATTTAAATTCCACACGTGCGGGAAAAGCACAAATCTGTGTGGTAATACGAAACGTGTTACTTGAAATTAGATACAAAATACTTATCATTTTAATAATAGAATAAACGACCTTATAACACGAAATTTGTTAATTTTCTTTAATTGAACTAATTATTCCAATAAAGTACAAACTTGTGACGATTTATTATTCTGTATTTATTTTAATATCGATGATTGTTTAAATTAAATCTATATTTAGAAACGTGCATAAATTATACCGTTAAATATGTATTGCGAAATTCCCGCCTGTTCTCTAAAGTTGTAAAAGATTCTCGAGTATAAGAATCAAGCTCCCCAGTGGCACAGCGGTATGTCTGCGGACTTACAACGTTAGAAACCAGGTTTCGATACCTGTTGTGGACAGAGCACAGATAGCCCTTTGTGTAGCTTTGTGCTTAACTATAAACAAACAAACAAGTAAGAATCAACAATATACGTGTGTACGTAAACGCTAGTGTAGCTTTGTATTGTTACATAATCTGAATTTTCTGAGAAACTCTCCACACGCCTATAAATATAACCAACGCGACGCGCCAAAATAGTAGTATATATTATTAGTTT